TGCTCTTTGTTTTCGAACAGATTATCAATGAAAACTGAAGTATCACTGTACAGTGTACCTAGCAACAATCTGCATTATTTCTTTAGCTTCTGTTGTCCTCTTCTAAAACTCTCCAGTTATAGGGAAAAACAGAATGGTTTTAGGCTAAAACTTTTTCCAGAGAAACTTGTGGAGCAATGAGTAATAGCATCAGAACACAGGGTAGTTTTACCCTAGAGTTACCCTAAATATAAGACTACCCAAAACATTACTGTGAGAGGTTGAAATTACTCTAGAAAAGGGTAATTACCCTATAAATGGCAGCACTGGTCAAAAATGAACACAATACAAACTCTACAAGTGTTTTCAATGTGCCCGTTGATAAGTTACAACCTATCCTTCATATCGTAATTGCATCAGTTAACGTTCAGAACGCTTTACGGCTTTTCTTAATCATCACAACATGGTCAAATATCATTAAAAACATGACACAAATTTCACTTTGTGGTCATTTTTTTTTGCTCAATGAGCAATTTCAGTCTTTGAACCTAATATATACAATCCATTTATTGTCACCAGTTATGATTCACTTCAAAAATGATCATTTTCTTCACATTTGAGATGCAAATCACAGATGTTAATGCAATAGAGCAAATCTCTTTCTTTAAGAACATGTGGAACACATATATCAAGCTTTAAAACAAAAACCAAGTCATTTCAAGTGATTATAAATGGTTGAATTGGACAAATTTAATCTCTTAATGATTTCTTGTGTTGTTATTCGGCAGTTTGCTTCAATCAATGCCTTTATTTTGTCTTCATCAGCTTAAACTGGCCTTCCAGAATGTGATGCATCTTCAATATCAAAATTGTCAGAAAATTTTGCAAACCAGTTTTGGCACTCGTTCTGTCAATACATCTCTATACATATACAATTTTTTTCTTGCTTGAACAGCATTCTTATCTTTTTGGTAATAAAAGAGCAATATATGCCAAAAATGCTGCTTTTGCTCTTCCATATTTGATGAAAAAAAAACAATAGCACAAAATCAAACAAAATTTTTTACAAATAAGCCTTAAAATGTCAGCTGTCAAAATATATAATGACAATACAGTTTAGAATGAAAATAGCTGGTAAAAATACAACTAATCCCTCTAGTGGTAAAAAAAAATAAAATTACTTTCTAAACAACCCAATACATTAAATCTGAAAATTGAAATACAAAGAGCAATATTCCTTCCATAAAACTTTGAAAATTGCAATCTAATATCTGTAATAATTTAAAATAACTTAAGTAAAAAGTAATATTTAATTAAATGGCTAAGAGCAGGAATGTGCAACCTTTTTCTATATAATGGCCGCATTTCAAAATTTTTGAACTGACGTAGGCCGCATATAAAAAAGGGGGGAAAATGTCAGTAAATCACAATTCTTTATTCATATATAATCTTAAATTAGCATAAGTATACTTAATTTAGCTTCTGGAACTGATGTAAACATAATAAATCAAAAATATTTGGTTAAATATTAGTCACTGTTAGTTTTAAATAAGTTTCGATGTGAGTCAGTCTGTTAGCCAGTTTCTTGTTTTAATTTTTACTAAATTCATTGCGGGAAAACTATTCACATATGTAAGTTGTAGAAAATAACGTTTGAATTTTTGCTGTGTACTTCCTTAATAAGCTGGGAAATTGATATATTTATTCATATTTTATGAGAGACCGGCCACAAAAAATATCACTGCAGGCTGCACGTTGCCCATCCCTGGCTAATTACTTTGAACAGAATATAGAAACAAACTCGTTCTTAGGGCTGTAAATACTCCTGAACAAACCTCAACATGCCTCATAAAATAAATAAATAAATGTTTTAATAAACTATACTACTAGATTTACCATTTTTACCATTTTAATCTTTCATTATTAAAATTAATTTGAACAAATGAAAGTACTGTTACTGTCATATTTGTTACCATCAATTTTGTTATCACTTAAAATTCTTTAAATTGTTAATTTGAAAATAAAAAAATTGCTATTTACATGATGTCCAACTATTATTTGATTGCAAAATAAATATTTGCAAAAAAGCTTTCATTTACTTGATGTCATTACAGTATCTATATGTCTGAGAAAAGCACTGCTAAATATTAGAAATACATAAATTAATTACATAATTTTGACAAAAAACTTACATTCATTTTGTTTGATCAAAGAAATATTACAGGTACTCCCCTAACTTTTGAACAGATTAGATTCCAAGATTTTGTCTTAAGTAAAAATTAACCTAAAAAATATATTTTTATACAAAATAACCACTTAGTGTTTAATTTTTCAATGCACTTAATAGAATACATTATGCTTGTTTACCTGCTCACTACTGCTTAGTAGCAAGTGTTTCAAATACAGTTTTTTTTTTCACCTAATGTGCTTAGTTTTGTAATGATCAGTTTAATTTCCACAGTAACAGAGTGGCACTTCTTGCATTTATTTCCAGTGCCAGATGCATTTTTGAAGCACTAATCATAAATGCCACTTCATGAGCAACAATGGAACCTCAGAATTCAGGCAGAAACAAAAAATGACAATATTAATAGAAATAAGCCAGCATTAGTTAATTAATATTTTCTATTTGCCAAAGACTGACTTCAACTTGACCCCATGAGCTTCAAGAGAACTTCAGAGTCTGTGCAAAATTTCAATTTTAGAAGTATGTTCAAATTATTCTTACATAAAGAGAACATGTGCATTTTATATTAGCCAAGTGAAATCAATGAACAACAAAATCAATAATGAAAATAAATTATATTAATTTGATTAAATGTTTGTTGTTATTTTTATAAATCAATTAGTATTTATATATTGTTGCAAATTACAACACTGAAAAGAAAAAGATTTTTGCAGAATTTAAAATTTAAGTTATTACTATCAGATTTTTCTATATATAGTAAATTATATTATTACAATTGTTACTCTAATTTATCCGTTTTATTTGTTTGTTTGTTACTATTTTATTAATTAATAGAACACTATAATATATTAAATGGAGTGGTAAAATATTTGAGAGTAAGAATATTATATAATTTGTACATAATTCTGGAATATGTTTTGTAATTGAATCTAAAAAGAAAACACACTTTTATTTGAACAACAATTATTGAGAAAAACATAAAAAGTTTGGAAGAAAAGTGATATCATTTATTGGTGTTTATATCATTTGTAAATGTTTTATAACTATCAAAATACTGAAATATTAATGCTAATAAATACATATATTTTTAAATTATGATGTTTTCAGTCAGTCTAATTTTTAATATAATTCAAGCATAACAGTCTTCGTGGTGAACTTAAAATTTGAATTTAGATATAGAAATTATACAGGAAAGTATTCCTAATTTTTCTAACAAATTTCAAACTTTATTTTATTATTTTTTACATTATCTTATATTTACCTATTACAAATATTTCCTGATTTCACTGTATTAACATCACAACTAATTCTTTTAGTACTGATCACATACACTGTAAAAGTTTCTTATCCAATCACTTTCAACTGCCAAAGCTACAGAAGTAATTACAAAGAAACTTTCAGTTTTTAGGTATGTTTAGCTTATTTTTAAAATTATTAAATTTTATTTAATTAGGTATTAACACCTCAACATTTAATTTAATAATAAACATTTGTTATCATAAAATATAACAAAAATGGCATGATGTAATTTTTTATGTATAGTATAAAAGAATATTTCTAAATTACATCAATCATCATCATTAATTTTGGACAATTACACCAAAATAATTCTTTTTAAGCTTTGGATATGTTCTGAAAGGCATTTCTGACTGCATAGCTATCTAAATGAATATATGATAGAATTATTTTAAAAATTAAACAATAAGAACTTTTTTAAATTAGAATAACTGAGAGCAAAAAAATTAAATAAATTTAAAGATGTATTTTAAAATTTCACTGTAAACACAATGGTAGTTTCCCAATGATTCCAATTCTTTAGACTTGTTATATGTGACACTTGGCTATAATTTAAATAAAGTTGTCAAATTTTATTGAATTAGAATATAAACATTTAGATTTAATTTATTTTAAATTAATATTTGATTCTTATTTGTTTAGTATATGTAGAAAACATATAGTATTTTCTCAAAATGAAATTCAATATATTATAAAATTCTGATAAATTACTGATATTTGAAAAGGTTGAAATATTTTATGCATGCACTATACAAAAGCAGTAGTCCAATTTAAATATTAAAGATGTTTTAAAGAAATGTAACCCCTCATCTAATCAACACAGAAAAAACATAGAAGTTTAGAACAAACAAATCTAAATGAAATTCATAAAAAAGGACAAATCTTAAGATTTATCATTCAAATAATATATAACTGGATATGTTAGCTCACTAATTCATATTGGACAAACTTGTAGATGCAACAAAAAAAAAGATATCATTAATCATCTCATTTTAAATTTGTTATTTATACTTCAGAATGACGTCGCACATATGCCCCAATGACTGCATAAGGCCTTTAGGCTGGTTTTTTATGACTTCAACATTAGATATATATACTTCATTTTTTTAATATTTTTGATTGTCTGTTCAACTCTTTTATGATATAAAAAATAAATTTATAAATGACCCGCAGGTCATAGGTTCACCACTACTGTACTAGAGTAGCTTTCAAAAGCAATTAGGGCTATTGTATATGCTGTTTTATAAAACAGCATATACAGTAGCCCAAATTGCTTTTTTTTTATCATAACTTGTATATGTAACAAATGTTTTCAAAAATTATATTATTAAATTAAAAAAAAAAAAAAAATACAAATTCCAGCAATCAGTTGCATCACTTTCCCGGCTAAACTTTAAAATTGCGTGTGGCGTCATCTGTTATGATTTTTTTATTTAAAATGTCAAAAAGCTTAATTTTGAGGGTAGAGATGAGTTTTATAAAAATATTATAAGTGCTAATAAGGAGTAAAATCTTCATGAACTCCGACNCAGTATTTCAGCAATATTTTATTGAAAAGAAATTTTTTAACTTACCTTATATACGACCATAGACATAGAGTTAATAGTGTTATACCCATTACTAAATTGAAAAAATTTGCCATAGAATAAAATCCTAAAAGTCCGAAAAACGCCGATTGAAAATAAGTGATAAGTACAATGGCAAATAATGTAGCTGGCGTTCTTGCAGCAGCAAAAATATTTTTACTTTCATTGTGTTTCACAAAATTATCATATGTTTCTAATATTTCCTATTGAAAATATCATGAAATGAGATATATAATTCAATATAGAATTTATTATATATCATAAAATATATCATAAAATCTTAAAATAAAAAAAGCTAACATTGAAATAGAATATGATTAATAACTGAACTAAAATTTTCTTTTCTGTTTGAATATTAATTAATAAAGTACAGTAATACCTCGACTTACGCAAACCCGGAGTTATGCGATTTTCAAATCTCGTCTTTTCAAAAATCTTTTCAAATTGTCGCGCAGAATTGACGAATAGCTACAATTTATTTTGTGTTATTTATTTCTGTGTTTGTTATATCTATGGAGATTCGAGAGACTCTATGTGGTGATTTCTTGTAACTGTGAACGAATCAAAAGACGAGATAAGATTAACGAGAACATTTATTAGCTTACATACATCCGACTTGGATTTACACAAATTGCGAAATTATACCTCGACTTATGCAGTTATCGCTCGATCCCACCTATTGCGTAAATTTGGGGTATTACTGTATATTAATTAATAATCAACTTTAACTTTTTTCAATGAATTAAAATTTTCAATAAGATAGTGTCACCGTCAATAATAGCTTTATAAAATAAAAGTATTTTAATAAAATTTAATTTTTATGTAACTTATTAAACAATTTTAATCATATATTTATAATAAAACATATACAGCAAACCTCAATCTATTGTTCCCAGATATATTGCTTTCCCAGAAACATTGTTTAATTTCTAGGGTCCCTGAACAAATCCAAGCAACAGCATGGCCCAGTATTTAAGAAAATAGCTGGGAGTGTCACTATAGTCACCAACAACAGTCTCCAAGTTACATGCATGTTTGGTCCCACACTGATTTCTATACAGTTGCACAGGTTCTTTTACTTCCCACACACACAGCTAACAGTAGAACATCTACATACAAAACATTCATGATGATTCAAATAATTTCTATTGGCTTGTCATTAAATTCAGCACTGCTTTCACTGTGATTGCTACTGAAGGTTTTTTAACAATGTATACAGAGCAGTTCCAAAATGGCAGATCTCAGTGCAGCTGTTGGAATGTTTTGCAAATTACAAGGGTAAGTCAAAAATTATCTGCACTTTGGCTGTAGAATTTATTGTAATCAATCTTCAGCAAGTCAAATATATCATTTCTCAATATAATTGCTCTGCTTTTCAACACACTTTGTCCATCTGTCCACTAGTTTACCTATTCCTTCATTAAAAAAGTTTTCGGCTGAAGTGCAAACTGCAAATGCACCACTGTCTTAACATTGTCATCAGATGTGATTCTTCATCCCCGTAGCATTTCTTTTAGGGGGCCAAACAGGTGATAGTCCAATGGGACAAGATCAGGACTGTAAGGAGAATGCTCTAACACATCAAAACGAAGTTTTGATGTGTTAGAGCATTCTCCTTACAGTCCTGATCTCAAAACGAAGTTTTGGAGTGTTGACAGTGTGGATAATCTTATGGAATAGTTCCCATAATATGTTAAATTTTCAAATGCAATTCATGTAATTCAGAGTAAAATACTCATTTGTGCTATGTTTAATGACGTTTTGAGTTTTAAAAATTGATTTTTTAAGATGGGCCAGTCTAGACATTTGTGGCTGAAGTGAATAAATTCAAAATCAGTTAACTTTATGTGAAATAAGATTACAAAGTTATTTTTAGTACACAATAAAAGCATGTGTATCCCAGCATATAAATGAATTTTTTTTCACATTTCTTTTGAAAGATTAATTCTTAAGCTTGATGTTTATTAATTAATGAATGTACTGTGCTCTTAATGTAAATTGTTAATTTTCTAAACTAAACTAAGCTTTAGGAAGTATTCAAAAGAATCAGCATTGGAAGTTTTCAGCAGAATCAGAATCAGGAGAAATTTTGGTATCATCCTATCACTAGTAAAAATATATATATTTTTTTGTTATTACAGATATATGTTGTTATTTCCAAATCTAGAAATGTTCCTTCTTTTTGAGATAGACAAAATTTTGTGTAATTCATGAAATTGAAGTGTTGATTTCAGGAACATGACAATATTTCTGCTGAATTCATGAAATTAGCAATTGCACTAAGTGACACTAGTGTAGCATTATGGTAAATTTATGAATTTGCATATTACAAAAAGATTTTTCCTCTTGTTTGACTTTTGTTTATTATTGTTTTAGAGTTTCTATTTTCAAAGTTTTTGATAACAATCCACAAAACATGTACATAATGATCATCATTAAGAAGTATAAAATATCATTACATAATCTTGAAATGGGAAAACAATACTAAAACAAATCTTTGTCTAACATTTTCTAACTCATAATTCAATGAACAAATCAAATATCAGTATCTTATTAGAAAATATCAAATGACAATTTCACAAATAGAAAATTCAACATTAGCCTGTAAGAAATTCAACATTAGTCGAGTTTTCTCCTATTTTGTGAAATAGGCAGAACATGAGCAACATTTTCAGATCCAGTGTAACATATATGGGGGGGGGGAATGAAAGTTGTGCAATACAGGAATACTTTAAGACCTGAAACAAAACATTTTTTATTTATGTTCAAAGTACTTTCCGCTGGCCAAAATGCACACATGCAGTTGCTCCTTCCAAAGATCAAAAGCATGATGCCACTCATTTTCTAGAATGATATCAAAATACTCTGTTAAGGAAGCTTCAATTTCATCTTTCATGTTAAATTTGCAACTCCTCAAATGTTTTTTGAAATTAAAAAATACCCAGAAGTTACACAATGCGAAATCTGGTGAATACAGTGGATGTGGAATGATTTTTATATTATTAACTTAAATGAAATCAACATCCTTCTTGGCAGTTTGTGATGAAGGATTATCATGATGCAAAATTTGACCTCAAATTTTCAGTGACTCCAGAATTCTAGGAAGACAAACTGTAGTGTACTAATTAGCCATTACTGTCTTCTGTTCATCAAGCTTAATTGCTCTTGCCAGTCCAGTGCTACTGAAAAAAATAGCAAACATGACTGTTTTTATTGCTCTCTGCCTTTTCACAGCTGTTGGAATTGGATCATCTTTAAGGATCCATATCTGATTTTCTTGACCTATGACAGTCATAAAATGGAATGTATGTCTAATCACATGTGACAATCTTGGAAATAATCTGGTGTCCACCTCACAATTCAACTTTCCAGTTTTCTTAGAGATTCTGACATGTTCTGACTTTTCAAAATCTGTCAACTCAATCAGACACTACTTTTTTTAACTGTAACTACTTATGCAGAATGTCTGAATTGCAGAGACTCCAATCTGTAGTCTCTCCTGTATCATTTCACAGGTAAATCTTTGGTCTTTTTGCAATCATACATTGGATAGTAGTTACATTTTTATAAGTCAAGGCTGTTCATGGTCATCCTTCATGTGTTTCATCATGGAAGAAAGTAAGACACCTCTGAAATCTTTTGTACCACCTGAACACAATAGTAAAAAATGGAGCATCACCTCTAAAAGCCAATTCCAATTGTTTATAATAGTCTTTGTCATTTAGTCTATCACAAAAATCATAGTAAATCATTGTACAAAGTGCTTCTCTAGAAAGTTCCATGATTACTATTAGTAAAAGGGTCTGTCTCATTTAGATTGAGAGATTGATGAAATTTGTTTATGCATAATGTGTCATATGAAGTTTATTATTTAAAAAAAAAAAACTGCAATTCATCACAGATGGTTTTCTTGTATTGCAAAATTTTCAAAGTAACCGTTGTATATATGTATGTATAAACGACAACAAAAATGCATATGTTGCAAATGCTATAAAGGTTTTAAACAGAAACCATTAACTAGCACTTACAACTTATTATCATTGTCATTGTCTTCATAACTAAAACTGAAAAGTAAATAAAAATAAAACCCTTAGATATCATAATTTACATATTAAAAGATAATGATAAAAAATACAGTTATGTTGAATCATATTAATTTAATCAGTTTTATTACTATAATTCATAACCTATATATCAAGAATCTATTATTGGTTATCTATCATCACCTATAGTAAATAATATTGCTTTTATGAAACATAATTGAGCCAGTCACAAGCCAAAACAATTAACTCCACATTTGAATTTTTTTAAATTTTAGTGTCAAAGCACTTGATATACTCATAACTTTTTATATTCATAATAAGTTTCCCTAATAATAAGGATTAATACCACTTAATAACAAAATTTTATTGACCATCGAAAATTTATTTATTTATTTCAGAAGCTAATCTAATTAACTCCATACTGTAACATAAATCTGTCGGCACACACATTGCAATTGCAGTACTGTTATCCAATGCCTTGAAGATAACACTAATTATTTAATGTTATCTCATCACAAAAAGTAAATAAAAGAAATAAGTTACAGTCCAACTGCCCGCAGAAGTAAGTATACTTGTGGAATATTGAACAATTGTTTTAATTTTGATGGAAATTGTTTTTCTTAAAAAAAAAAAAGTTATACAATTATATCAAGATGGATGAAACTAAAAAATTTTTTCATTCATTCTATTAAATGTGATTCTTATAAAAATTTAAGAACAAATCAACATGATGGGACCTCAAATACAACTGACAAAGAAGACATCATTTATGTTGCTAAATAATCAATTTAAACAAAATAATAACAACCACCATTGTAACAGTAATAGAACAGTTATTATTCATTTTTGCAAAAAATTTTTAATAAAAAATGTATGATAATGATGTTTCTCTATAATAAAAAATTATTTGAAAACTGACTGAACTGAATGTTACTGTTTTTCACTTGCCAAATCGATTAACTCTTTCAATCACACCAAAATCATAATAACAATAACAATTATAGCATAACTATGCAACTTTATATATTGTTAAATAAAAGCTATATCTACAATAATATATTCTACAATGTTTATTTGAATTTAGATTTTAAAAGAAATTTAAAAAAAAAATGTATATTACTTTGTCACTTTTCTCCACTTTTGATTTTATGGAGTTAATCAATTTGGCAAGTGAGTGGCACAATTATTAATGAAAATAATAATACATACCTTATTAAGCTGCTCTAAATACATTTTTGAAAATTCTGGACCACCCATTTTCCTAATGTTAGTAAATGTTTGTAAGGCTTGATCATGATAATGTTCGTGTTCTTCTTGTAATTGCCTAACACTTATATAAGGACGGTCTCCGCCACAAACCTATTAAATAAAACTTACTGTTACTTATCTAGAACAATATTTATTTTTATGTATCAAAAAACTTATTCTGAAATTAAAATTACAGTAGAGCATCAAATGTTGATCAACCAAAAGCTTTCCCATCAGCAAATTTAATTTCTGCTAGTGCTGTGGCATTGCAATCTTTGGCTATGTCTTGGGCTACTCCAATATTATTTTTGTTGGTGTGTGTGTTTTAGCTGGCAGACCTGGTGCAACCATGAAAGGGTACTTAAGGATGTGCCAGGATTTGAATGAATTTCAACATGGAATAGGTTAATATATTTTTTCGCACATAATCTATCTGAAAAATTGATTTTGCAAACAACCCCAGTCCCCAATTCATTCAGAGCATTGATTTGCAAGTGTATTTTATAATACAGTAGAGCATCGATTATCTGAATGAATTGGGGACTGGGGTTGTTTGGAAAATCAATTTTTCAGATCGATTATGTACGAAAAAATGTATTAACCTATCCCATATATTTATAAAAATATATGATAAAATGTAAGAAAATGAACATAGCAGATAAACATATAGACATTGAAAGAATTATTCTGTTAATTTCCAAAAAAAATAATAGCATAGTATAAAAACAGAAATAAAAATATATTTCTATTAATTAATAAATAAAAAATAATGGTTAAGCAATCACATTAAATACACTAAATATACTAAAAAAAATAAGTTGAATGAATATAAAATATAAATGAAAAACTATTTTATTTATATTTCTTTATTAATTAAAAATTTGTTTGCATTAAAAATAACTGAATCCAATATTTCTGTCCATATTCAGTTTATTTGACAAGAAGTTTAAGATAGTAAGTACTCTAATTTTACATACAAATACACACACAGAGTAATTGTAATTAAAATATCCTATTGAACATAGTCTGTAGAGCTATTTTTCAGGCAAAATGCAACCAAATCAAGTATTGTGACATTCAGAATATGCAGAAGACTTTCTGTATAAAGATTTGTACTAAAACTTACCACTATGGCACAAATATTTTTTTTGTACAAGACACTTAAGACCTTAGCAATGCAGGGGATACAAGTCAATGTGATCTTCATTCTAAGGTAGGTGATGAGCAGTAGGTTCAACAGACAACTGTAATTGAGCCTCTGTGTCTGTGATGCTTCACATATGGCCTGTTACTGTCTTTCAATAGCCAAATACATGTCTTTAATAAGGCATACTTTTTGTGTCATCACAATCAACATTCCTATAGATTAAGGTCACACGGTTTGCATTTGCTAGACAGCATTGAATGTAGATACTTTAATTACAATCAGCTAATATATATATTTATATATATATTTGATATAAGTATGTGTACTTATGTAATTAACCAAATACTGGTTCTCAATTTTCCGAAACCGTGTTTTATAATTTTCTATGATTCTCAAACACAAAATTGTGCTATTATTTAAACACTTGGCATTTTTGTACAGGCAAGATCCAATGTTGAAATAGTTTATCATAATTTAAAGCTTGTTCCTCAGGCTTTAAACTTTTTAATATTTGTATACTGTTTATGTACTTATGTATTAATTACTTGTTTAAAAACTAGATATATGTAAATTTCATGTTGGTGAAGCCTACTTTTGATATCATTGTTGAGAAAGTATTAGGGGCAGTCAAATGAAAATTAGACAGACTATATAACAAGTGTGGCACGGAAGTTGGTAATGCAGGTAGGTGTGTATTTAGAAGTGCCCTCTATTGGGAATCAGGAAGGAACAGCGTGAATGTTCACCGCTTTTATTTGTCTGTTAGACGTGCTTGAAGTGAGGTCGGTGAGTTGTGTGTGCGTCCAACATCACTAAGGAAGTCCACTGTCTGTTGACTTTCTGGAAAACAGCGCCACAATTAATGCACAGCGATAATATAGAAACTTTGCAAAAATTAAAGCATGCCATCAAATCCAAACACCCAGGAATGTTGACAGACGGCATCATTCTGTTGCAAGATAATGCCCACCCACATGTTAACAAGGTTGTTTTGACTATCTGCAGCGTAGTCCATACACATCCTCCATACAGTCCCAATTTCTCCCCATGTGATTTCCATATTTTTGGAACCCTGAAGAAAGACATTCGTGGCCATCAATTTGCTTCAGACGAAAAGGTGCACACCTGGATACAATCATGGTTCTTTGTCTCACAGTAGGATAAATGTATTAACAGTTATGGCAATTACTTTTGAAATAATAAATAGTTTACTTACTTTTTTCCCCATCTGTCTCATTTTCATTGGACTGCCCCTAATATATTCTGAGTCTCACTAGTCAATGTAGTATATTTGTAAAACTTAAGGTAAGTTGTATTTTGTAAATTTCTCATAAATATAAGGAATATAGTGTATTATAAATTTGTAAAAAGTATGTCAAATTTATCTAGGCAGATGTATGAAACTGCATTACTCTTATACATGTGTACACCTTTCAAGTTTGTAAGGAATCTAATGGTACATCTTGTGAATGAATTTATACATTTAGATATATATTTTTTTAAAATGGCCTTTCTGTATGATATTGTCTTGTTAAAAATTTATGTACCCTTTTTTAACGTTTAGTTGGCTGATGAAGGGCATTGCCCGAAATATGTAGTAATACTCGTATCAACTGAATAAAGATGAAAAAATGCAAAGTGTTTAAACAGTAGCACAATTTTGTGTTTGAGAATCATACAAATACTGGTTGTTTGACTATATTTTATATCCTCAATTTTGATTTATATCATCTCTTGATAAATATTTTCTTTATCTATTAGCAAATCGCTAATAATTTCTTTAACCAAAATACCAACTTGATGAGTCATTCCTGTTACAAAATAACAAAACCAGAAGAGATGAGAACACAAAACATGCTATAATAAAAACTATTTTGGTTAAACAAAAACTAGATGACACACAAAAAGACACCTTATAATATGATGAACAGTTCTTGTTAATATGTAATTACATTTTAAAAGTGCTTTAGAAGTGTTCATTTTTTAGCTTCAAAAAGTTAAAATTTAATACTGTCCAATTAAATATATTTATTCAAATCATTTTCAGTGAGCTATTGTCAAGAAAGAATTGATTAAAATTAAATTAAGAAAAAAAAATCAAAGAAAATATCTACAATATTTTTAGACATTTCACAAATTAAATTTACATTTATTATGATAGATAATATATTTGACAAAAATTGAAATAATAAACCAAAAGAAAATGTTTAATGAATAAATCAAGAGGTATTATGAAAAGATTATAAATTAAAATAATGTTATAGCATTTATCATAAAAATTATAATTTTGATTGCAATAAAAACATTATTACATTTTTCAACAAAACAAGAAATGATTTATAGATTTTTTTCTTACCTTTTGCATATGGGATGAATAATAATCTTTGGCACTTGCAACAGCTGCTAAATTATTGGCTTCAGCTGTAGCCTATTAAATACACAATTATTTTATATTAATGAGTTTAAATTGTCTGATAAAATCTAAAGGAAAATAATATGTACATGTTAGAATCATCTAAATGGAACAAAAAATTATTGAAAATATGTTTTGTTAAATTGTATATATATTTTTTTATTTTTGTTTGTCTTTTGTTTGTAAAATATATTTACTTTAAATGAATTTCATTGAGTAAAAAATTACATTTGTGATTCACTTAATTCACATTTCATTTTATAAATTTAAATTAAAAAAACTAAACTTTAAAGTAACTAAAGTTTACTTTAATTATAAATTCATACATCAAATGATCATTTCACAACCCAACTATATGTTTTTTTTAATCATAAGTGCATTAGCAAATATATATAAAACATTTTAATATGCTGCTAACAGTTAATTTTTCTTTCATACTATATTGTTTGAATTGAGACTCAGATTTTGGAATCACTTTTAGAGTTTTTGTTGTATTTTCTTGTATGGCTTATGTGTCTTTATAAGTTTTTCCCTTCAGTAAAGTTAAAGTTTTGGGAAAAGGAAAGATTTAGAGATCCAAATCTGGAAAATATGAAGGCTGTCTGACCAATGTGACATTATTTTGTCATAGAGAAGTTTATCATTGAACTCATAATTATTCCTGTATCCATAAAAGAATTATGAATCACTATAATTCTGTTTGGTATATTAAACACTTTTTGTATTTTATTTATATGAAGCATAAATAATTTGAATAATGAAAAATGTGATCTATTCATATGAATATGAGTAATAATATTAAATAACTCAAAATATAGATCTCAGATATTTTATTTGAATGGAAATTAGATTTCTAAAAATAAGTAAATATAGGAATATTTTTGGCTCTCAAAGAAAATTTTTTTGGATGAATATATAATTCATACTCTCTACTTTTGATGATACTGGCTTATTATGAAGAATAAATTTCAATGAATTTTTAATAAACAGTATTTTGACTAAAAGATTTATGTGAATAAGTAATGTAAGCATTATTTGATTATTAATTACTTACAAAAGATTTTACTTATACAATGTTAAAAATTTTAATTGCAAAATCACATTAATACTGTACTCTTCACCTTATAAGATTTTTTTTTGTACCTAAAACTCATCTGGAAATTAGGATATGTCTTATACAGTAATGAATAATAAACTTGAAAAATGTGATGCATCTTATAAAGAAAAAAAAATGCATCACATCATCATTGTTTTTTCTTTTTAAAATTAAATTCAATTAAACAAAAAATTAAATAAATGTTTGGATTAAAAAATTATTATTATTAAATATTTAAAAATAGTTATTTTACCTCTAACATAGTTTTTGGTTCTGGCAGTTCATCACCTTTAAATACATTCACATATGCCTGAAATGAAAATTAATAACACACACATTTAAATAAACAAGAAAATAAATTATATATAAATAAATTTCCCGCTAAAAAAATTAACTTGAAACATGTAATGTGATGATGTGATGAATTCAACAGATTTGAATTGAGACCAGATTTTGAAATTGCTTTTAGAGTTTTTGCTGTATTTTCTCGTATGGCTTATATCTTTAAAAGTTTTTCCCTTCAGTACAGTTTAAGTTTTGGGAAAAGGAAAGATTTAGAGATACAAATCTGGCAAATATGAAGGTTGTCTGACCAATGTGACATTATTTTTGGCCAAATATTGGTTCAGAAGCTGGTCAACATGCTGTCACAAGGTGAATGAGCATGTCATATTGAACAAACATGACTCAGACTGCCATTTTCATAGCCTCTCAACAGTTTGTGAACATCTGTGACTATTTTAGCTAATTTCACACAAAATTTGATTGCCACATGTTACTCTTATACATCTGACATTTTGGAATGCAACACTGACACCACAATGGTCTCCTTTCTTTTCACCTCTTTGCCACTGCAATGACATCTGACACATAAATATATACTGATGTCTAGACCATTGCTAGGGTGCAACATTACTCACTAACACTTTTCATTTTTGTAAATTAAGTTTATATGTTTTTACATTTTTTTCCAAACCAAAAACCAATAAAAATAAAAAATAACAATATATAAAATACAAGCAATTATTTATTGTGACATCATCACAATGCCAGGCTGCAATTTTTAATTAATCATATTTTCAGTTTATTTAATTTAAAATATATGCTTGCCATCTCAAATTAGTACTGTAGTGTCTTGCCCCTGTACATCATACTTTTCATTTAACAATAGAATCGTGCAGGTCATCTATCTAACACCTTTCAGAGGAAAATTTTTGAACTGAAATAACATGAATTCCGGTTTGCATCAGAAATTCTTATATAGTTATTCAGTGCTTCCTGCCCCTAAGAATTCCATATCTGGTCTTGTCTTTCATCTATCTAACTCTGTTCTTAAGATTAAGGAAAGATAGATGGACAGAAAGACTACAGTGGGAATTTGTCTACAATTTTTTCAAATTGCACCCCAAAATGTATCTAATAGGAAAAATCATCTTTAAAATAATAAATTTGTGTGCTTATACAGTAATGAAAATGTAAACTACAATAAAGTAATTAATTGCAAAGCATAATCCCTAATTATAACACGAATAATAAATATAAACCTATCTATATAGTAAATTTTAAAGTAAAAAATTTTCATGAAAGTTTTGTATAACAAATGTTATCATATATAATATTTTTAATAAAACAATTAAAATACACTTTTTTATGTAATTCACACAATGTAGCAAGATTTCTATTTGAACAAATTATTAATTTTTAGAAAAAAAATATTCAGCACATGTGTAACTGGCTATCAAAATATAGTTTCCATTACATCAATATGGCTGGCTGGATGACAGACAACTAATGCATCAGCATAATGCTCTGAAGAACCAAAGATCAAATCCAAGCAAGCAACCTCAACAATCTTTCATGACTATGTTAGGTCTTCTCCCTCACAACCCATCTATCAAATCCAAGCAAGCATCCTCAACAATCTTTCATGACTATGTTAGGTCTTCTCCCTCACAACCCATCTATACTCATTAAGTCCTATATGAATCCACGATGGGTATGCTCTCTTGGTGTTTAGAGAGCAGAAAGAAGAGTGAACAAAAAATATATATATATCAATGTGAACTTAATTACTATGAAGAGAAGAAAAAATTATAACATAGATATTACATGGTATTATTCTATAGATAACAGAAAAATATACTTTAGAACAAATTTTTACAAAATGTATAAAAATAGTTCATATCTAATCCTAATTGCATTTTATTAATACTTCTGGAGTATCCTGTGTATAAAAAATAAATGGCAAAGCAATGAAAAATAAACAATAAAATATAAAAAGCTGGCAAGGACTTTTGCATGATTTTCCCAGTACGCATAATATATAAAGTTAAGATTATTTTTGATGCCATTTACTATGAATTTTATTAAAATATAATTTTTTTTAATAATATTAACAACTATAAAAGGCAAAAACTTTGTTTTTGGAAGTAGGGATAGGTTGATAAAAATATTGTAAATGACAATAACAAATAAAATTTTCATTAGGTCTGACATCATTTGAGTTATCTTCTGCCTCCTCTATCTCCAAAATCAATGCCCCATATATAAAAGTATTCTTGTCAAATTTCAAATTTTTGGTGTAAAGATCCTGAGTTATAAAGCAAAACAGATGCTTACACACAGAATTTTGTAAGGCTTTTTTACATTTTTGGGCTCCTAGTGTGTCAAAATGCCAAGAAATGATAAGGAACTAGGAGGGGTCAAAATTTCACCAATCGTCATGCTTTCCCTGTTATATTCCATAACCAGAAAAGTAATATAAAGAAAAAAATAATAGCTTAATTCATAAATTACATAGTTTATAATGAAAAATATTAAGATTTTATCATATTTTACAATAATTAATATAAATAAATAATCAATCATAATTTAATTTTCATTTATAAAACATTATACAAAACAACAAAAAGTTACAAAAAATTATTACATGAATTTAGAAAATTAGTTCCTATTCAAATAGAATTTACATTAATTTTACTTTTATTTAAAATACTGCTGATAAACTTACTAATTTAAAAAGGAAAATTTAAGTAAAGGAAATTCTTCATAATAGAATTTTTCAGCACTTTTAATTGAAAAATCTTACTACTAAGTAAAATATATTAAGAAAGATTTCTTTTTTAGTTGTTATTAAAACAAATAGCAGTTTTAAAAGTGATAGTTGTTAATTCCATAAAAATGAATGCTATAAAAAATGAAAAACTACCTTGAAATATTCAACTAATTCTCTAGCAGTAATTTTTCGACCATTTATTTCTTTTCTAACAAGATTCTCTTTTGAAAGAAGTAAAGGCACAAGAACTTTCAGCTGTTCTCGAAATTCATGTTCAATATCTGGAATATTTTATTATTATTATTAAAAATCTTTTAATACAAAAAATACTTATAAATAGTAAACATATTTATAATAAAAATGTTACACTTAATTTATTAATAGAAATAATTAAAAATGTGTTGTAAAAAAATGAATCAAATTAATGTATATAATTTGCAAAATTTCATTTACAGTCGACCCCCCTATAAGATCATTGATTTTTCCGTTTTATCTGAATTACATGTTGTACGAGTCACTTAGATTTTACAAATACGTGTGCCGGACTGTGAATGGCTCACATATTTGTAAAATCTAAGTGACTCGTACAACATGTAATTCAGATAAAACGGAAAAATCAATGATCTTATAGGGGGGTCGACTGTATTAATACATGTTATTTTCTCACAGAGATCAAAAGTATACATGATCAATTGATAATATTGTTATACTGGAAATAATGAAACATTTTTAGTTCTTAATATTTTTGCAGCCACCACTTGGAAAAAATGCCAATTTGTTTTTTCATTTTGAGTATTCTTACTCAAAATGAAAAAGTTAGTGCTATATTTGACGATATGAAATTGAGCCACTGGCTCAATTTCATATCGTCAAATATATGTTCTTGTGAAATTGTCATTTATGTTCTTGTGAAATTGAGCCACTGGCTCAATTTCACAAGAACATAAATGATGAAAAACCCAAGAACCCAAGAAAATTACCCAAGAACATAAATGATGAAAAACCATTATAATTAAATATGTCTTGGAAGTAAGAAACCAAGCAATAAAACATAATCTATAAATTTTTTTACACTTCCACATAATAATAATAAACAACATCTAAAAAATAACATGTGCAATTTACCAAAACTTCCAGTGTTGAATGACGCAAAATTGCATCATTGGCAGTGAAATTTAATTTAATCACTACTTTAAATATCATATATTTTATTAAATTTAAATTTGTAAATTACATAAATTAACATTAGTGAAATTATAATATTGAGCAAATAATTAATAAAATACAAGTATAAATTAAAATCAAATGATGTGAAAAGAAATTAATATTAGAAGATAATATTGGTTCCTGAAATTTGTCTCAAACATAAATTCCTACATCTTATACCTACACTACCAAACTAATCAGAAAAAACTAAGTCACCGCAGCTTCATAAAAAATTTGGCTATGCAACTTATAGAGGATAATCTGAAGAGGAGAATGTAAAACATACATTTGAGATGAAATCTCAGGGAAGGAATAAAAAGAATATTGCCAGCATGTCCAATGCCCTGGCAGCCTCACACACAAACATGGGTCAAATAGATGTGCATTCCGTCCTAGGTCACACGATCATAAATTAAAAACAGTGCGTAGTGAGTGTGGTAAACATGCATGTAAAGAACAGCAAGTTGCTTTTCAGTTGCATTAAGTGTCAAAGTAAAATATCAGCTGATGAATCAGAGTGACAAGGATGCTTGAAAAAAAAACAATTTGGATTTCTACTATTGGTTTTATAAGATCTACTGTAACAAGTTTTGATAAATGTTGTTTTTTATTGTCTTCATGTATTTATGTACTAAAGTACTATGTAATCATACTTGAATATAATCATATGTATAATAAGACATGACCAAATAAATGAGTAAAACTTCATGCATTTTTACTTACATGCTTCATTGACAAAAATAAAAGTTGGGGTGGACAAAAACCCCACTTCACTAATGCCGAAAAAAAATTCACTTCACTAATGCAGGGTTAATAAAATAATATATAAAGAACTAGAAGCATTAATTAATAAACTCAAAAATAAAATATCAGATCAAAAAATAACTATTTGTGCAGAAATTTAAAACAAATAATGAACTAATAATGTTAAGTTTTAGGTCATAAAAAACTAATTTTCTTTTTAATGTTTTATTCATTATTTTCTGATTAAATAATTTAGATGATTTAAATTTATTATTTTATTCAATTATGGAATTATAACTAAATGACTTTTGTCATATTTACTACTTTTATTTAATAATTTATATAAAATTTAACTCTAATTACAGTAAATCTTTATACAGTCGACCCCCCTATAACACTGTTGATAATTTCGTTTTATAAGAATTCCATGTTGTACGAGTCACTTAGATTTTACAAATACGAGTGCCGGGCTGTGAACGGTTCACGTATTTGTAAAATCTAAGTGACTTGTACAACATGGAATTCATATAAAACGGAATTATCAGCAGTGTTATAGGGGGGGGTCGACTGTATACTAATCTTTAACTCTCATTACAGAAATACATATCAATTATAACAGAAATTTAATGAAAGCTCAATCATTAACTATGTATTTAGTATTTATTTCAGTTGAAGATCTTCAACTGAAATAAATACATACATAATATATATATATCACTGGCACTGGTGCACCCAAAGTGTTGCCAAGAGGCCTCGGCACCCTCCAAAAGAAAAACAAACACTAGAAAATTTTCCAAAAATCCTTTCATAATTAAAATTCATTTTTTATTTGTATTGTGTCATGTCTTATATTTCTATACTAGTTATGAACTGGTAGCCCATATAAGGTGGAAATTTTATTGAATTTGCATTAAAAATTTTTTTATCCATTCAACTCAGCTCTCAAAATTAAATCCTGAGTCACCATTTATATATATATTCAAAACTTTTCTACAAAGTTTTAGTAACACTAACAAATAAAACTAAGACTAAGACTCCATAAAGAAAATACTTTTGCTTTATGTCAATTATTTGTTTCTGAAAGGAAAGAGAGCATCACTGGCTTAAGCATTATGTTTGGAATAAATTTTGGGAGCAATTATTTGACTTATCCTATTCTATTAACATTCTGCTTTAAATATTAACAAATTTTTATTTTATCTTATAAATATCATTTAAATCATCATTACAATTCAATTACAATATTATTCACTGAAACAACAATTATTTTTCAATGAGTGCAACACAAACATTTGAATGATATATACAGTTCATATTATTGTATTTATAAATGTATTTGTAGACAAAATTCAAAATTTAGCAATACAAATAAAAAAAAATGTAATTTTACATAAAATTATAACTCAAAATATAAACAAACCTGCAAGACGTCCATCAAACTGTGGATTTGTTGCTACTTTCAAGCCTGGATGAGGCATTAGAAAACAACTAATTTCTTGAAAACAAGAGCGAATATGTTTTCTTAACTGTTGAAGTTCAGGATGTTGTCTTTCAGATATCTTTAATAATATAAATATATAATATTTATTTGAAGAGAAAACTATGAAAACAGTTTAAAAATTTTACAGAATGGCTCAAAAGTGAGTTAATGACGACATATTTTATGAATAGTTAAACTGGTTTGGAATAACTGCATATTATTATTCATTATTATGTTTCTAATAGAGCAATCAAATCTTAAATAACAATAAATAAAGTTAATTATATGATTAGCTAACTGGTTTTCTGGCATTTCTATACTATAATTTTTAATTCTATAATTTTTGTTTGTATTAAATTTAATTATCATCTCAATCATTACTTTCCACCAACTATATTATGATATATTTTAGATAAAATTCTTTCTTCATTTTTATTTATAATGAAATGCAATAGAATCCTTTTTTAAAACTTGCTTTATGAAATTTTTTGCATTGTGTATATGCTATTACAATTATATATGAAATACCATATTTTTTACTCACCATCTCAATGTGATATATAAGTTCAAACTGCATTTCTAAGAAATAACATATTTATTATATAAACTATGAAAAACATGATTGCTTGTTTAGCAAAATTTTTTCACAAAGCAATTATGAATAAAAGTTTATAAAAACTTATATTTTTTTTATCAAAATGTTTAAAATATGAAAAGAAAAAAACTTATAAAACAGTTTTAAAATATTTTGAAAAAGAAAATAGGAATAGAAAAAAATAAGTTGAAAAATTGTTATTTATATAATTTAAAATCAAAATTTGGAATTAAATTAACTTATTTTTGACAAATTGAATATTGTTATTCATAATAATAAAATTGAAAATCAAACGTTAATTTTGAGAAAAATTTATAAACCCATATAATATTTATTCTGCTAAATAACCTTTCAAAATTTTTAATTTATCAAATTCTAAAATAAAGATATTCAAAATTTATTTTCACCAATATGTATGTACAGTACACAGTGTAATTGTAATAAGCAGTTAAAACTCACTGTGTTCAGCGTTATTAATCGTTTTTTCATTTGAGCACTTTTGACAAGTGTATTCCCGTCGTCTTCAGGCGAATAAGATATTTTAAATCGAACATGAACATTCGAGAGAAGAACACATACAAAATCTTAACAAAATCCCAAGATCTTATAAACAGTGAGTTAAACAATATTAGCTTAGCAGTACGTGCAGCGGGTTTCTCACGTGCTAAGTACATACATGCATGCATGTACTCAACAAAGTCAAGAAGACACTGTTTCCAAGCTCCAAGTTAACTAACAGGAGGGAAGTTACGCTTATACAACCAGCCTTACCATACCTCGGTCCGCTTTCTCTACGCATTTGCCGCATGTTTAAACGACATGGTCTGCTCCTGCCCCTTTCTCTGTTACCTAACTTGAGCAGACTCCTCTGCAACGACCAAGACAAGTTTTCCATCTTTGAGAAGTCAGGAATCTATGCGGTTCCATTAGAAAATCCTGTAACAGGGAATAGTACGAGATACATGGGGGCCACAGCAAGAATGTTGGCTACCTGCTTGACCAAACACCAGGATGATATAGCAAAAGGAAGGTGCAGCACTGAACTCGCAAGAAGAGTACGTGACATGAATTATAACCCATTATGGGCCCACTCTACTATACTCAGGACAGGCAGCGACCGAAGACTACTCTTTATATAGGAGTCGCTATATATAACAACGTTGGAAATGTGCAACACACCTACTCTGGAACTGCCCAATATATGGATTGCCTTATACAAATGATTAAATGGCGATTTACATCATATATTACATCACTGACGGGAGCAGTACCATGCATGCACCGTATTACATTGCAATCGTAACATCGCATGTATTTCAAAATAGTAGCGGATTCATATTGAACGTCGTTGAAAAAAAATGTTTTTATTTAAATTTGTATGTGTTCTTCTCTCAAACTTTCATGTTCGATTTAAAATATCTTATTCGTCTGAAGACGACGAGAATACACTTGTTGAAAGCGCTCGAATGAAAAATCGATTAATAATGCTGAATACAGTGAGTTTTAACTGCTTATTAATATTACTTGGCGTGAATAACATACTAGTGTAATTGTTAGGCACAAAGACCAAAAATGCTCTATGAGCAAAAAGAAGGAAAAAAAAAAAACCAAAATGCATTCTGGTTTTTTCATTAGCAGAGTATTTTTAGTCTTTAAACCTAATATAAAAATATATCTGTGAAAGATTTCTTTTAAATACTGAACCTCAATCTTACGAATTTAGAAGAACAGCAAATTCTCTGATTAATTGATTATTAAGTGATTATTATTTAATTTAAGTGTCAGTTTATTTGATAAAGAATCTTTAAACCCACAATTATTTTCAACCTAACCCCTCAGCCCGAGACTTTATTTCCATCTTTCTTCACTGACTTCCCTTAAACATCCTAATTATTAAAATGGATTTAATAATATTCTGAATCTATCTTAAGTTACAAAAAATAAGCAAATAATTTCAAAATTACATTTTTTGCATTGATGAGGATCATAGGACACTATGCCTAGTCTCACACATTGTAAATTCTGTGCAGAATAATCTATTGAAGGATAGAAAGAAAAGTAAAAGAAAACCTATCAGAAGACCAATTTGGCTTCAGATGAAACAAAAGAATACAAGAAGCGATACTAAGCCTAAGGATGCTCATCAAACAGCTTATTTTGGTAAAAAGGCAGGCACTCATAGCATTTATAGACATAAAGAAGGCCTTTGACAATGTGAACTGGAACATAATGTTTAGATCACTGAGAAACCTGAAGGTAGACTACAGGGATAGGTGAATACTATACCAGCTATACAAGAATCAAACTGTAGTTATAGGAAGAGAAGAAGAAGAAGCCAATATAATGAAAGGAATAAGACAAGATTGTGAACTATCACCACTATTGTTCAGCATCTACATAGAAGAGACAATGAAAGAATTCTACACTACTAATACAAAAGGTATAAAAGTGAACAGAAAGTTGTACATCACAATAAGATTTGCTGATGACATCACAATGATAGCAGAAGATGTAGATGACCTACAGATACCTCTTGAAAATTTAAATCAACAGTTTAAAAGATGTGGAATGAGAATAAATAGGAAAAAAACAAAGATAATGAGATGTTCAAAAAAAAGGAACAAGAAGGAATGAACATCTATTTGGATGATGAAAAAATAGAAGTCAATGAGTTCATGTACCTAGGAAGCATAATTACCTCAGATGGAAGGAGTGGAAGAGATGTTACAGCAAAGAATAGTCCAAGTAAAGCAGGCATTCTACAGAAAATGACAGATGTTAACATTGAAAAATATATCAATCAATGTTAGGAAGCAATTCATTAGGACTTTCATCTGGAGTGTAGCATTGTATGGTTTGGAAACATGGACATTCCGAACTGGAGGCCTTTGAGATGTGGTGTTGGTGAAGAATGATGCAAGTGTCGTGGATGGAGAGAAAGAGGAATGAGGATGTTTTAAAAGAGGCAACAGAGAAGAGACAGATTTTGACAATAATACAGAAAAGGAGAAATGACATGATTGGCCACCTAATTCAACACTCAGAATGGATGAATGTTTTATTGGATGGAAAGATAGAGGGAAAAAGGGGACATGGAAGACCAGAGTGGAATATATCAACAAGTTATTACAGAGAAGGCCTTACCAACAGATAAAACAGCTAGCTAAGCGAAGAGAGAAGCAATAATACTGCACACATCCAAGTTTGCCCACTAACCATTGGTTGAGGAGAGAGAGAGAGCAAGAGAGAGCATTGATGAATTATATTATTTGCTCAAAAACATAATTGATATATTAATTAATCATTATCTTTTGAGGGATAAAACTCATCTAATTTAACTTATGACAAAAAAACAATAATTTACTATTTTGAAAATGGTTTATACCTGTAACCTTTTGTCCAGTAACTGTTTTCCTCCCAAAATTCCATATCTGGCTTCATAAGGAAAACTCCAATCACGGACAAGGAATGCCAATTTCTAAAATATTTAAGGTAATAAAAAATATTCTCAATAAGATTTGAACTATAAAATTAAAAATATATATTTTTTACATAAAAAGAAAATAGAGTAGAGTCCCACAAACTTGACTTATCATGGACTGAGAAGATGGCAAGTTACTGAAAATGACAAGTTTTACAGTGTCATGATGATAATCTAAATAGCATAATTTTTGTAAAGGTATTATATGTGCAAATTCATATACATATTAACTATGTATCAATAGTAACTATTTCTATTTGTAGTTAAATTTTAATTTAAAAAACTATTGGCTATTCAGTGGCTACTTTTGAGTTAGTTGCATTCATGCTGTGGCATTTTACAGTGGTGCCTTGGAAAAAGAATTGTATTCTTTGTTAACACGTGGAATTGACACTATTATCAAATGCCACCAATGAAAAATGATAACTTATTTAATCCTAGTGTTGGGTTATAGATGTAAAAATTAGATTACATGTATTTGTTTTGTTTTTTTTTTGAATGACATGACAGGTTTTATAGTATATCGAGTTATTGAGAGTTGCATTTCTGGGACGCTACTGTATTGATAATTTAATTTTAATAATTAAAGATATTTTAATGAAATTACAAATAAATTAATTCCTTGGGTAAAGTTTTAAACTTGACCAACAAAATCTAAATGTAAAGAAAAACTATTCTTGAATCTATATATTTAATGATTCTTGCATCTCTCTTCAATGCTTTAAAATTCTTATTTTTCTCATATTTGCATTAAGAAATGAATCTGGATGAATAAAATACATTTCTTCAGGTGAATCAACAGGATATTATTACATCTCAGTTTTTTTTAATGTAAAAATGTTTATATTTATGATATAATGTAAAAATCAATTTTTTTCATCTATTCAAATGATTTATTTCACAGAATTATAACATTAATGTTAATATATTATTTATTAACATTGTTCTTAATTGATAAGAAGTTTTCTCATAACAGTAGTGAATTCTATTATCATATAATAAGTTAAAATCATTATTAATTTTATGCATTGAAACACAGATGTAATTATATTTGTACAATTTAAAATATTTTTAAACATTATACTAAAAACTTCACTTATAAATTAAAAAAAAATCATTTTTCAAATAAAGTGTATAATTGGATTTAGTTTTACTAAAATAATGGTAACAATTTGAAATAGTGGTTAAAGCAGTAACTTAATATAATTTAAAGAGTAATAAATCATTCCTGGAATTGTTAATTATGAATATATCCATATATTCTTTAATTTAAATTACTTTATATTTACATACCTGGAAAGGTTTTTCACTTGTATCCTGGAGTGCTAATCTTCCATATTCTGTAAATAACTATAAATATATTTATAATTATTTAATTATTAAATATATAAAAGAAAATATTAAAGACTTGGATGTTATCTTAAATAATTTGATTTGTGTAGCAAACATTTTAATGTTTGATGATATCTTTTGTAAAATATTATTGAAAATAATCTTTGTTTTCAATTTATTTATTTACTTTTTTGAAACATTACAGCATTTCTATATAATTATATTGTATTGTAATACAATTTTCCATAAGAAGTAATACTCAATTTTCTCAATTAAAATGATGTCATAAAATATAGCAAATATTTAGATTTTCAATTTAAAGTGAAAGAAAAAATTTTTGTGGCAAAGAATATATGAATTCATACTCAAATTAAATGGATAATAATAAAAGATTATAAAATTTCTTTGAATTAATTTTTTTTAATTATACTTTATTGAACAGCTTTTTCTGTGAAGCTTCAATTAGTTTTTATTTTCTAATCAAATATAATTACCATTAAATAAATCAGTACAATATTATTAAGTCTGAATATTTTTAAAATATGAAAATATCTATATTTATTTATATTTATTGTTTACAATATAAAAAACAACAACAACAATTCAGAATTAATCAAAATTGAAATTTTTACAGAACTGAACAAATTCAGAAACTATCAAGATAACAGTAAAAATTTTTTATATTATTATACTCTTTGAATATTACAGATTTTTTTTATGTATCTCATACAAAAAGTTCTCCAATGTGATTTTAATTATAATTCTCATCACTAAAGATCTCTTGTATTTGATCAATTATAAAATGCTTAATGCTTAAAAATGATACTTTAAATGTTATTTCTCTAATGTTTTAGAGCAGGGTTGTCCAACCTTTTTTCATAATGGGCCAAATTAGACATTTAGGTATATTCAGCATGCCACAAAGGTTCTTTATTTAAATGTATGATTTTAAAAAGTTCAAGATGTGAATATCAAATTTTATAGTATATATCAGGGGTGGGCAAGCAAGAGTTCAGTGGGAGCCGAGATGTAGGTTTTGCAAAATGCATGGGAGCTGCAGTTCTGTGCTTTTTTTATTCTTTTTATGATTTTATTATATAATATAAATACAGTAGACCCCCCTATAATGCTTAGATACGTTCCACGCTAAGCGAATGTTACGTTATATGAATGATTAAATACATGAGCCAATCGCAGCCCGATAGGTGGGAACTTTACGGACTAAGGCTGTTCGAAAGGTTTTCTTCTATAAAATTAACCGATTCTAGACTAATTCCACTCAACATTTCCAAAACACGTATAATTTTTTGGGAGTAATCCGTACAAACTATGCTATAAACAAAAAATTATAGGATTACTTACCGAGTTTGTACCGTTCGACTACGCCGTTGCTTAAAGCTGATTTTCGTTGCGGAACAGCACATGAAACTGCGGCCGCGATTTCTAATAAATAATTTTTCGCAGAAAAATAACTTGACCTTTGGAGACATCATTAATATAAATAATTTTTATGGCCGTTGAATAAGAAGTGTTTCTTTCACAAGAAATGTATAAAATTAGTGCTGTATTAGACTTACGGTACCTAATTTACATACTGTGCAGACGATAATAAACTCAACTTACTAGCCTAAAATCTCCGTAGCGTGTTGCCAGGCGGCAGAAAGCATATATATAATTATAATAAAGTTACAATAAATTAAGTTAATATATAATTATATATACAGTACCTAATTTATATATAATTAATATATAATTATATGTACAGTACCTAATTTATATATAATTTATATATAATACTAAACAGACGATAGCAAACTCAATTTAGCCGCTCCGTAGCGTGGCGCAGGGTCGGAGGAAAATAGTTCGGCTGCTCATCCACTATTGGTCCAGACTCTATCAATCTTGTCGCGAAACGACGTTATGGGAGGTATGTTATACGACAGTTTCTACAATTTTTTCGCTACGCTATAGGAATTGTCGTTATTGGAACGTACGTTATAGGGGGTCGACTGTATAATATTAAACAAATATTGAATTTTTTTAATTAATAAACATATTTTCACAAAATTGTGGAAATAAAATTGTAAAAATAATAATAAAAAGCAGAAATGAACACTTTCAGCAAGAGCCGCATGTAACTCAAAAAGAGCCGCATTTGACCATGCCTTGTATATATAATTACAAAAATGTATTATTGACAGTAAAAAAAAAAAAGAAATTATACTCACACAAAATAAGTAAATTCAATGCAATTTTTGACACTGCCTTCCTTTTATAATATAGTCAATGTCTACTTTTATGGTACTAGTCTTTATTGTAAGAATGTTAGTTAAATGGGAATCACTCGACATATTTCTTTCAGCAGTTTGATGTTTTTCATGCAAGAAAAGAATTGTTTACAACAGTATGTACTACCTACTACCCCACATGCATAACAGCTTTGTAGATAAATTGACAATTTCATCAAATTAGAAAGAAATAAAGAATAAAAAGCCCTTCCATTTAGGCATTAGGCCTAGCCTTGAGTCACTAAAAATGGCTGATACTCTTTTGAAAAGAGGGATTGTCTTTTCCACCCACCTGATGAAAGGCACCCAATTTTTATCATTAACATCACTTCATTTAAAAAATCTTTGAAAATGAAACAGTGAAAATGACAGACCACGTCCCCTACTTTTTGATTGGAAAGTTACAAATTATGCCACAAATTACTTCATTAAGATATCAAAGTGTATTCAGTGAAACCAGAATTTTTACGACATACTTTATCAAATGTACCTAATAAATTTAGGGTGCAGTGGGCCGTATAAAAGTATTAAATGGTCCACAGTGTGGCCTGCAGGCTGGACATCCTTGTTTTTTAGCACTTTTCCATCATCATAAAGAATGCTTTCTAAAATAGCTTCTACTTTCATAACAACTAAAGATCTAAAATATGAATATTTATCTAGCTATGTAACATTTCAATATAAATAAATTTAAAACTAAAATTATTTATGCTAAATGTAATTAACACTAGTATTAAATAAAACATTAAAATTAATTTAAAATTAAACTTAAATGAATGAATAGCATATTTAAAAATCATTATACAATAAATCTCACAATTGACATTATAATAATAAATGTAAAATATAAACAAATTCTAAAGAAAGAAAAAAAAATGCAAGAAACTTGATCATAGGTATTAAAAAATATATGCTAAAAGTCAACAGAAACAAAAGTAGATCATTTACAGACTAACTCTAATAGATGCTCCTGTAGTTCATTATTATCCTTTGTTACAATTCATTTTATCTATTATTATACCATGTATTTTTAATTTCTCATTTCCTTATGCTAACTACTTTAAAATCAGTTTTATGCTGTCAGTAATGAATTTATACTTTATTTAGTAATTTTAATTCAAAATTTATTACCAAATTTGTTATCTTTTTGGCAATTACTATATGTTCTTATGTTCTCTAATTCAAACTGAAGCCAGAGAGAATAAACAATAGAGTCATATTTACTTAAAAACAGAAATCTCATTTTCTCAGAAAATCCAAAACTTGGATGACTACCTAGTTGCTTTCCAAAATAAACAATATTTGTATATGCTTTATTTGTGTTCAATATATTTTCTTAATTTTTAATAAAGTTCTATAATTATTATTATTTTTTAGTTTACATATACAGTATAATCTTCGAATAGCGGACACCATCAAGACCAAGAAGTTTGTCTGCTATTTAGAGTGTCCACTATTTGGAGGTACATGCCAGTGGCCATATTGTACTTTAACCTGGTCATTATAAAGTAAAGAATATGATGAATTATGAAAACATCAAATTTGCATTAAGAATATAAAATACTGAAAAGTATACGTAGCATATATAATTAAAATATACAAACAATATATTATTTATTTCTTCATCTGTAAAAATCTCGTTTTAATTGAATCTCATTTGAATGTAGAATTATGAAGGTGATTTGCTATCCACTTCAAATGACAGGAAATATACCTCATATTTGGAATTGTTACATTTATAACATCATTTATGATCTAAGCAGCCAATAAAAATCAATACAGGGATTTGTCTATCTCACCTTTGAATTACAGTAGAGCGTCGATTATCCGAAAGTCAATCATCCAAAACGATTCCAGTCGTGCTAAAGTATAATTTTTATTTGTTTTTATATTTTTCAATGTATTTATTTTGTTTGTACAAAATAAAAAAAATAATTTTTAACAATACAATAGTCTTCGTTAGGCTTAACATTGACGAAAATTCAATGCGAAGCAACACGCAACGGAGAAAAATGTAAAGATGGGATAAATTAATATATTTTTTCATACATAATCGGTTATCCGAAACATCGATCTTCCGAACAACCCCAGTCCCCAATTGATTCGGATAATCGACGCTCTACTGTAGTATCAAATAGTTATCAAGTAGATTAACTTTTTGAACATTTTTGCTTTTTTTCAGTAACTGATTTATTAACCTCTTACACTTTAGCCAGCACAAATCTGTTAGAATGGTTAGAACAGCAGCATTTGTTTGGTGAAAGTTCAAAGGTCACATTACAAAGGCAATTTGCCAGCCACTTTAAAGTGTGGGAAGATATTTGGTTTTCATGCATTTATGATGTCATTTATAATATTAAGTTTCTTTTTCATTACTACTGTACTACAATTCTTGTCAAATGAATGAATAACTTTGGAAGAGTTTCTAGTTTTTTGGTATCATAAGCTTAATTCCAACAATAGCACAAAAGTTTAGTAACATTAATATGTATAATGATAAATAGTGATTGATAACTTAATTAACTAGATTAAACTTCTCTAACAGATAAAGAATATTGTTTGACTTCTTATAACCTGTCCTCCTCTCCTATTTCTATTTTAAGCCAGTCTTTATTTGATGCCTACAGACAAATTTGTTGTCTGAAAGAGTACTCAAACTGATTCTTTGTTTTCATTTTAAAATATTTTGTATGTAATTAATTCTTTCAGAATATTGAAGGTGAGACATTGTTTTTGTAAAATTGGTTTATGGATGATGCAGTCCATTATTTAGAGATAAATATAATAGATGTCCTATTTGAAGGGTCTGGGGATTGTAAAAATGTCCATTAAGTAGAGGTGTCTGCTATTCAGGAGTGTCCATTAATGGAGGTTTCACTGTATATGCGTTTGTGTGATATTAAGTCACTACAGCCCACAGCTGTTGTCAGAATTAGCAATGTGGCTCTCCTCTTCGAACATCTGGGGACTCCTGCTCTATAACAAATTTCTAAACAATATTAATTTCTATTTTCAATATTTAATTTACTATCAATTATGAATAGCTTGTAAATATATAATCTATTGNTATAATATTTATTCTGCTAAATAACCTTTCAAAATTTTTAATTTATCAAATTCTAAAATAAAGATATTCAAAATTTATTTTCACCAATATGTATGTACAGTACACAGTGTAATTGTAATAAGCAGTTAAAACTCACTGTGTTCAGCGTTATTAATCGTTTTTTCATTTGAGCACTTTTGACAAGTGTATTCCCGTCGTCTTCAGGCGAATAAGATATTTTAAATCGAACATGAACATTCGAGAGAAGAACACATACAAAATCTTAACAAAATCCCAAGATCTTATAAACAGTGAGTTAAACAATATTAGCTTAGCAGTACGTGCAGCGGGTTTCTCACGTGCTAAGTACATACATGCATGCATGTACTCAACAAAGTCAAGAAGACGCTGTTTCCAAGCTCCAAGTTAACTAACAGGAGGGAAGTTACGCTTATACAACCAGCCTTACCATACCTCGGTCCGCTTTCTCTACGCATTTGCCGCATGTTTAAACGACATGGTCTGCTCCTGCCCCTTTCTCTGTTACCTAACTTGAGCAGACTCCTCTGCAACGACCAAGACAAGTTTTCCATCTTTGAGAAGTCAGGAATCTATGCGGTTCCATTAGAAAATCCTGTAACAGGGAATAGTACGAGATACATGGGGGCCACAGCAAGAATGTTGGCTACCTGCTTGACCAAACACCAGGATGATATAGCAAAAGGAAGGTGCAGCACTGAACTTGCAAGAAGAGTACGTGACATGAATTATAACCCATTATGGGCCCACTCTACTATACTCAGGACAGGCAGCGACCGAAGACTACTCTTTATATAGGAGTCGCTATATATAACAACGTTGGAAATGTGCAACACACCTACTCTGGAACTGCCCAATATATGGATTGCCTTATACAAATGATTAAATGGCGATTTACATCATATATTACATCACTGACGGGAGCAGTACCATGCATGCACCGTATTACATTGCAATCGTAACATCGCATGTATTTCAAAATAGTAGCGGATTCATATTGAACGTCGTTGAAAAAAAATGTTTTTATTTAAATTTGTATGTGTTCTTCTCTCAAACTTTCATGTTCGATTTAAAATATCTTATTCGTCTGAAGACGACGAGAATACACTTGTTGAAAGCGCTCGAATGAAAAATCGATTAATAATGCTGAATACAGTGAGTTTTAACTGCTTATTAATATTACTTGGCGTGAATAACATACTAGTGTAATTGTTAGGCACAAAGACCAAAAATGCTCTATGAGCAAAAAGAAGGAAAAAAAAAAAACCAAAATGCATTCTGGTTTTTTCATTAGCAGAGTATTTTTAGTCTTTAAACCTAATATAAAAATATATCTGTGAAAGATTTCTTTTAAATACTGAACCTCAATCTTACGAATTTAGAAGAACAGCAAATTCTCTGATTAATTGATTATTAAGTGATTATTATTTAATTTAAGTGTCAGTTTATTTGATAAAGAATCTTTAAACCCACAATTATTTTCAACCTAACCCCTCAGCCCGAGACTTTATTTCCATCTTTCTTCACTGACTTCCCTTAAACATCCTAATTATTAAAATGGATTTAATAATATTCTGAATCTATCTTAAGTTACAAAAAATAAGCAAATAATTTCAAAATTACATTTTTTGCATTGATGAGGATCATAGGACACTATGCCTAGTCTCACACATTGTAAATTCTGTGCAGAATAATCTATTGAAGGATAGAAAGAAAAGTAAAAGAAAACCTATCAGAAGACCAATTTGGCTTCAGATGAAACAAAAGAATACAAGAAGCGATACTAAGCCTAAGGATGCTCATCAAACAGCTTATTTTGGTAAAAAGGCAGGCACTCATAGCATTTATAGACATAAAGAAGGCCTTTGACAATGTGAACTGGAACATAATGTTTAGATCACTGAGAAACCTGAAGGTAGACTACAGGGATAGGTGAATACTATACCAGCTATACAAGAATCAAACTGTAGTTATAGGAAGAGAAGAAGAAGAAGCCAATATAATGAAAGGAATAAGACAAGATTGTGAACTATCACCACTATTGTTCAGCATCTACATAGAAGAGACAATGAAAGAATTCTACACTACTAATACAAAAGGTATAAAAGTGAACAGAAAGTTGTACATCACAATAAGATTTGCTGATGACATCACAATGATAGCAGAAGATGTAGATGACCTACAGATACCTCTTGAAAATTTAAATCAACAGTTTAAAAGATGTGGAATGAGAATAAATAGGAAAAAAACAAAGATAATGAGATGTTCAAAAAAAAGGAACAAGAAGGAATGAACATCTATTTGGATGATGAAAAAATAGAAGTCAATGAGTTCATGTACCTAGGAAGCATAATTACCTCAGATGGAAGGAGTGGAAGAGATGTTACAGCAAAGAATAGTCCAAGTAAAGCAGGCATTCTACAGAAAATGACAGATGTTAACATTGAAAAATATATCAATCAATGTTAGGAAGCAATTCATTAGGACTTTCATCTGGAGTGTAGCATTGTATGGTTTGGAAACATGGACATTCCGAACTGGAGGCCTTTGAGATGTGGTGTTGGTGAAGAATGATGCAAGTGTCGTGGATGGAGAGAAAGAGGAATGAGGATGTTTTAAAAGAGGCAACAGAGAAGAGACAGATTTTGACAATAATACAGAAAAGGAGAAATGACATGATTGGCCACCTAATTCAACACTCAGAATGGATGAATGTTTTATTGGATGGAAAGATAGAGGGAAAAAGGGGACATGGAAGACCAGAGTGGAATATATCAACAAGTTATTACAGAGAAGGCCTTACCAACAGATAAAACAGCTAGCTAAGCGAAGAGAGAAGCAATAATACTGCACACATCCAAGTTTGCCCACTAACCATTGGTTGAGGAGAGAGAGAGAGCAAGAGAGAGCATTGATGAATTATATTATTTGCTCAAAAACATAATTGATATATTAATTAATCATTATCTTTTGAGGGATAAAACTCATCTAATTTAACTTATGACAAAAAAACAATAATTTACTATTTTGAAAATGGTTTATACCTGTAACCTTTTGTCCAGTAACTGTTTTCCTCCCAAAATTCCATATCTGGCTTCATAAGGAAAACTCCAATCACGGACAAGGAATGCCAATTTCTAAAATATTTAAGGTAATAAAAAATATTCTCAATAAGATTTGAACTATAAAATTAAAAATATATATTTTTTACATAAAAAGAAAATAGAGTAGAGTCCCACAAACTTGACTTATCATGGACTGAGAAGATGGCAAGTTACTGAAAATGACAAGTTTTACAGTGTCATGATGATAATCTAAATAGCATAATTTTTGTAAAGGTATTATATGTGCAAATTCATATACATATTAACTATGTATCAATAGTAACTATTTCTATTTGTAGTTAAATTTTAATTTAAAAAACTATTGGCTATTCAGTGGCTACTTTTGAGTTAGTTGCATTCATGCTGTGGCATTTTACAGTGGTGCCTTGGAAAAAGAATTGTATTCTTTGTTAACACGTGGAATTGACACTATTATCAAATGCCACCAATGAAAAATGATAACTTATTTAATCCTAGTGTTGGGTTATAGATGTAAAAATTAGATTACATGTATTTGTTTTGTTTTTTTTTTGAATGACATGACAGGTTTTATAGTATATCGAGTTATTGAGAGTTGCATTTCTGGGACGCTACTGTATTGATAATTTAATTTTAATAATTAAAGATATTTTAATGAAATTACAAATAAATTAATTCCTTGGGTAAAGTTTTAAACTTGACCAACAAAATCTAAATGTAAAGAAAAACTATTCTTGAATCTATATATTTAATGATTCTTGCATCTCTCTTCAATGCTTTAAAATTCTTATTTTTCTCATATTTGCATTAAGAAATGAATCTGGATGAATAAAATACATTTCTTCAGGTGAATCAACAGGATATTATTACATCTCAGTTTTTTTTAATGTAAAAATGTTTATATTTATGATATAATGTAAAAATCAATTTTTTTCATCTATTCAAATGATTTATTTCACAGAATTATAACATTAATGTTAATATATTATTTATTAACATTGTTCTTAATTGATAAGAAGTTTTCTCATAACAGTAGTGAATTCTATTATCATATAATAAGTTAAAATCATTATTAATTTTATGCATTGAAACACAGATGTAATTATATTTGTACAATTTAAAATATTTTTAAACATTATACTAAAAACTTCACTTATAAATTAAAAAAAAATCATTTTTCAAATAAAGTGTATAATTGGATTTAGTTTTACTAAAATAATGGTAACAATTTGAAATAGTGGTTAAAGCAGTAACTTAATATAATTTAAAGAGTAATAAATCATTCCTGGAATTGTTAATTATGAATATATCCATATATTCTTTAATTTAAATTACTTTATATTTACATACCTGGAAAGGTTTTTCACTTGTATCCTGGAGTGCTAATCTTCCATATTCTGTAAATAACTATAAATATATTTATAATTATTTAATTATTAAATATATAAAAGAAAATATTAAAGACTTGGATGTTATCTTAAATAATTTGATTTGTGTAGCAAACATTTTAATGTTTGATGATATCTTTTGTAAAATATTATTGAAAATAATCTTTGTTTTCAATTTATTTATTTACTTTTTTGAAACATTACAGCATTTCTATATAATTATATTGTATTGTAATACAATTTTCCATAAGAAGTAATACTCAATTTTCTCAATTAAAATGATGTCATAAAATATAGCAAATATTTAGATTTTCAATTTAAAGTGAAAGAAAAAATTTTTGTGGCAAAGAATATATGAATTCATACTCAAATTAAATGGATAATAATAAAAGATTATAAAATTTCTTTGAATTAATTTTTTTTAATTATACTTTNGGAAAAATCAATGATCTTATAGGGGGGTCGACTGTAAAACTGAATATACTTGAAGAGTTCAAAGAGATTAAAAAAAAGAGAACTTAAGTCATAAAAAAGATTAACTAACTGATGCCAAAAGAGCTTGTAACATCTGTTTTTTTTATTTTTTAAGACTAAGAACTTTAAACAATGTCATTACTTATATTTGTATGACAAAATACCTTAACTCATAACAGAAGACTAGTTAAATCATTCTCAATTAATACACTTAGATATAGAATTTATATTTTTAAAATAATTCTATTTCTAGGTTTCAAATATTAAAGCAATAATGCAAAAAAAAAAAAAAACAGAGAAAATGTATACTTAAAATCCAATCAGTCTTAAGTCAGATTTGCCACAGAAAGACAAATACTGTAAAGACACTATTAAAGAACCAACTCCAAATGATGTTAAATTTTGATTTAAAAAAAATAACTAAGGCAATATTAACAAAATTATATATTATAGTTTCTCATTTTCCAGTCCTTTGCTTGAACTTTTACAATTGCGCACAAAAAAATGATAACAATTTATTGAGACAGAAAAAGTACAATCAATTTCACTGTCCAAAAATATATAAAGGCATATAACAAAATTAACTGAAATAATTAATGGCATATTAATATTTAACAATAACCTAATATTCATTGAACTCTCTTTTAACTAAAATCATATGTAAAGTTTTCTGTGTGAATTAGATCATTATCCTATTGAAAGAACCATTGATTCCTAGCAATATGTTCTGCAATAAGTAAGAGATTGATCACCAACATGTCTTGATAATCATTTGCTTTTGTATGCACCTGAAAAAAGCAAACGGAGTCTTTTCTTGTCAACTAAAACTACCCCATACCATAATTGAGCGACCACCTTGTTGTCATTTGTAATATACAGTAGTTTTTCCTCACTTTTCAAGTCATGTCAGTAGTGGCTCCAACCATCTGGACCATCAAAGCTGAACTTTTTCCATCACTCTAGATAATTTGTTTCCACTACTGGCATGACTTGTAAGTACACTAAAGTACACTCACAAGTCATGCCAGTAGTGGAAACAAATTATCTGGAGTAATGGAAAAAATATATTTTAGACTAAGTGATTAATATGGGCATTATGAATAATGACAAACAAAATCGGGCACTGTAATAAATTTCAGGTGTTTTAACATAATTTATCAAATTGACCAAGTATTATGAATACTGATATAACCTAGTCGGGCAAAGTGATAATAATATGTTGAGGAGATTCAACATACACTAGCCAATCATCAGCACTTGCATCTGAGTTGCGTGTGTATTGCGATTAGTACTGAATTTTAAATTTATGCTACCAGTAGTTAATCTTGTGCGACATTTTAATTTTACTGGAGGCCAAGGCTATAGTCAATGCTTCTGCAAAATTATGTAATTCCAAATGTCATCAAAATCTTAATTGCTCAAATAAATAAACTAAAAAACATTTAATTTTTTATATAATTTATACCATAAATGAAATTCCAGAAGTATCCTGTAAGTTGATTTTTTGTTAATATTAGTTTAATTGGTAGAATTTTACCTATGTGCACTGTCATGGCGACGATCATGACTGTTCGTGCTCCTGATGGACTCTTCTGGAGGGTAGTCACTGATTGTTTAATGTCGCTAGTTATTGATATGTGTGTTCAAGAACTACTAGTGACGTTAAATAATTGGCAGACTGCCAGCGGCTCCCCTCCAAGAGGAGAACGAACAGTCGCAACCACTGCCACGACAGTGCACATAATTAAATGGTAAAATTTTACCTAATATAGTTAATAGTACTTACTTTTAAAAGATTACATGTTCTTTTTAAAATACTTTGAAATAATTCTCAAAAAATAAATATTTCTAAATGAAATAAGTGAAATTTTTAAAAATCAAATTGTCCAAAGGGAATATAGTTTTATTCATAATGTCTGGTCAATTTAATAAATTAATCAATATTTATCAGACTGAGTGTCCATTTTAGTCATTATTCATAATGCCCTGTTAATCAGTTGGTCCATAACACACACACGCATATATATATATATATATATATATATATATATATGGAATTGTACAGACATGCATGTTTGTACAACTCTTCCAATAGTTGATTTTTACCAACATTACAATTGAGCTTTGCTGTTAACTTCTAAAATGGTTTGTTGCTGGAATTCTGGCAAAAAATGACTTGTTTTGCACTATTTGTAAGCTTTGAATGGTGTTCCATTGCTTTTTTTTTTTTGGGACCATATTGATCTCCAAGTTTAATACAGCTGTTAACTACAGTGAATGACCAACTTTTAGCAATTTCTCTTGCAGGGTAATTTTCACCTTTAAGAGCAAAAATTTCATCTTCTAGGTCTGGTTGGGATTTGCCTAGGTCTATTGTTAAATTAGTGATTCTACCAACTATAGTCATTTCTGCTGGGTTAATGTTAACCTTTGTACCTTAATATCAATTCGCCTTTATATTTTTGAAACATTCAACTTTAAGCTAATTGTTTAAAATTGTTTTCTATTTTAATAAATTACTACTATTTTTTAAATATATATTTTTAAAGGTTTAAATAAACTAAAAATAAATAGGATATGCAAATTCTTCTGTGTAAAGGATTTTATATGAAAATCTATTAGTATCTTTATATTTATGGGATGCACCTTACATCATATTTTATAACTTTTTTTATGTA